ATTATTAATACATTTTATTTTAAAGACTTATTTAAATAATAATATAGATTATAATTCATGAAAATTTTCTATTTTTAAGTGCTACAGCAACATTAAACTTTTTTTTTGTTTTAGTTTATTAAAAGTATTTGATTATTAACTAGAAATTATTAGATACAATGACAATGTTTTTTATTGTGAATGATTAATATATTATACAATTCATAATAAAAAAACTGTTTCTAAATAAAACCAGGTTTATGGAAAATATTAAAAGTGCTATTAATATAAATCGGTATACGCACTTAAAAAAATGCTGATAGATACGACGTGACAGTGAATAGTATATAAAATGAAGTATTCGCGTCAATATTATTAATTAAAAAATTTTTAAATGAAAAGGAGCATGAGCATTGTATACTAGCATTATTAAAAAAATTATACGTAATTTCTTAAAGTGGAATTTAATATAAAAAATAAGAATTAAAATTTAATTGATCATAGTAAGCAAATTTTATAAATTTATCACTTTTTTTTTTAAATAATACGATTTAAAATCTTAACTATAGAATTTACTGAAAATTTTTTAATAAAGTATTTTGTTAAATATATAATGTCTTGTTATTGATCAGGTCATGACAATATTAAAAAAATATTAAAATAACTATTATTTTTTGAAATGTTTACCGATCAATTCTACGCGAATTGTTAAACTAATTTAAGTAAGGTAAATATTTACCGTTTTTTTTAGGTACGTTACTCCTGCAGTGTCTAAACTAGACAATTGTGACCATTGACCATACATCTTTTTGTCTCAAAAAACTTAAAAAAATACTTTTATTTACTGTTTTTATTCCGTTAACTCAATATTATAATATTGTATATTATATTATATGCGTAAAAAAACATGTTTATACAACAAACAAAATATTTAGAACAATGTTTTTTTTTCAGTTTTGAATTGAATAATAATCATTTACTTATTGAAACCAAAGTTCAGTAATAACTAATAACTAATAAATATGTTATACTGACGTATTGGCGTATTCCGTGGTGTAATAATATTATGAAACCACTCTTCCATCATCAGTCTACAACAACACCTTATCTATCAGATTAACACTACCTACTTTCAAAAATATCTTTACTAACATAACAATTATCAAGCAATATTTACTGGAGTTAAATCAAAATTGATTATTCGTTTTTTACATAAAGATGGAAGCAACTATTAATCTGGACATGGCAAGCGTCTACAAGCGCAAAACGACAGCGGTTGTTTTATTTCCACTGCGTCTATACACAGCAAAACAAAACATACCTTTAACAACATTTTAGTAAATATTTATTATTAAACTAATTCTTTAATTGGCATTATTATTGATAATTAAAAGAACATATATTAGTATATGCATTAACCTATTCAGCCATAAAATAAGTTTTATGATACATATTTTGACTAGTTTGAACTAAAAAAAATATATGTCAAAGCCTGTAAGGGCTATATTAGCATATTTAATATTTCAAATAAGTAAGTACATTGATTCTGAATTACTATATTACCTACTGCATCTATTTATTATACCAATTGTCTAATGCTGCGACCCCAATTATATGATAGATAACATATTATAGTTTTTGTTTAACAATCTATCTATTAATTATAATGAGGCTATATTTATAATAATTAATTCGAATTTAAAATTTTTAACTAATGTTATATGTTATAATAATACAGTATCTTATAAATCACCGTAGATGAGTACACAATATAGTAAAAGGGCACAGAGATAATCATAATTTAAGTATGCATTGATAAGTATTATTTACTAGAATATTTAGTATGACAGTCAGAATTTAAAATCACGAAAAACTAAATACAATCATATACCTATATATAAATAAATTTTTTAAGTTTCTTGTAATATTTTTGCACCCACATAAATTGATAATTTTGATATTTAAAAACTACTAATTTTTTTGACAGACAATAATAATTTGAGAGTGATTCAATTCCTATTTTACATACCTGCTATAATGGGCGTAACACTTTTCCACCAAAACGTTGGACCTTCCTTATTTCCATCAAATAAGTTAATGACTATATTTCTACCAAAACAATTTCTATACCACAATTATATTAAAATATATATTAACTGAACAGTTTCCATTTATTAAATATTCGATTCTTTTCAATTATTTATTTCCAATTTTATCGATGGATTCTCTATTTTACAACAATTATTCATTAACCATTACATAACAATTATGGCTGGATTTCAAATTTTTTTCATGGAGGCGAAATTAATTTTATCAATTCAGATTCTTTTCAATATCGATATTTACTCCCGATTCTAATTTAATTTGAAATCGATAATCGAACTTTTATCGATTTCTATTTGATTTAATCCGATTCTTAATTCTTTGATGAGAAATTTTTGAAAGAATATTCCTTTTTACCCATACAAATCAGTGAAATTAAGAATCAATCCAACCCATCTCTAATTATTTCATATTTTAAAACAATACAAGTAATCAATCGTTCATTAACAATTTTCTAACAGTTCACCGTAAAACATAAATACGTTATACTGAAAACTGGGAACTGGAAAACGATTAGATATTATAACAGTATAAAACTAACGCTACGACTGGTTTAGTCGCACACGCATAATAAATAATAACTTATCCCAAGACATTTTTCGCTATAATAATGTATACGAGGATTACCGGTATTGGTAATGTGATGAGTCCTAATGTAAGTACTATCGACAAGTTTACCATCTTGACATCCTGTAGAATTCGATATTTTTTTACCGAAATAATTGAAAAATAATCGAGTGGTTTAATAAATTTGAAGCTAAAAATTTGAAATTTTAAATAATTTAAGAACTATCTAAACAAATAATGATCCAGTCTAAAAAGTTAATAATTTGATTAACATAATTAAATAAAGAGGTAGTTCAAAGACTATCAAATGGTTGAGGACTATCACAGTAAGTATCGAAATCGAATTAGAATTTTAACCATTCAATTAAACGTTTCTGTGGCTGAATATGATTGGAAGTAACTAATATAACGCCATCAATTATAACAATAATACCTAATAAATAAATTACATAACCATATTCCGTCAATTTCATATAACATTAAAAATAATTGATTATTATAACGAACATTGAATAGTTTAATTACCTCAAAGTTCAAATATTCATCACATAATAAAAAAACCTAAAAAAAAAAATAAATAATAACGCGCAGGCGTATTGAGGTCAAGTAAGCATGCAGAAATTTAGCTTCTATTTTGAAAATTTGGGCATGTAAATTAATTTACATAAATATTAGAATCCGACATATTTCAAAGCGGAGGACAACCAGAATACCAAGAGTTTACTGTAATATGTTATGAATAATATGAATGATTAAATAACCTAAAAATTATAAATAATCTTAATTCCAACGTTATATAGTGAGAGAGAAAACCGAAAAAATGAGACCCCTACATAATAATATAGACAGATAAAGTGCTATAACCTTTAACATAAAGGGTAGTTTTTTTGTGATCGGATAAGGTCATTTGTTTTTTAGGCAAACGCATATCGTCATAAATGATCGAAACACACGATTGCAATGCACACGTCAACGAAAATTTATTTGGATGCATATTTTATTATAGGTGCAGGTCTTCGTGTATAGTATAGATACTATGATGACCACGTAAAAAAAATTTTGATTTAACATTGAAATTGTGTTACTGAACCGTGAAAAATAGTCGTCCAGGGTCGTTATGTGTCATTTGAGTAGGGGAGGAGAGAAAGAAAAGAAATAAAACGAATTGAGTGAATGTCAATAATGTTTATAGTTTGATTCATATCATGATAAAAAGCGCGGGGGGTTAGCCATCACGGGCGTTATACGTAATAGTAAAAGTAATAACAAGAATGATAAAAATATTCACTGCACATGAATTGCGTCCCAAAATCCCTTTTTCACATGAATTGCGTCCCAAAGATATTTAACGACTACACGAATTGCGTCCCGACCATATTTAACGACTACACGAATTGCGTCCCGACCATATTTAACGATTGCACGAATTGCGTCCCAACTTAAAAACATTATTTTCCTTCCCATTTCATACAGACTTAGGACTGTCGATAGCAAATTATGACTACCGGTAGGTTAAAAATATCGATTTTTATCGTTGGTATGCAATTAGAAGTAAGTAAAATGAAAATGTGTAGGTTTAAATTATAAGAATGTAATATATAATAATTTAAATAAACAATAATAAAAAAAAATTATAAATATAAAATTAAAAAACTGGTAAAAACTTGAATGATACCTTCTTAATATAATCAAGGCGGGTTAATTGTCCACTTTCATATTTTGCCATGTTTTGTCTTAAATAATCTTCTTTTTCACATACCATCATACGTCTGTTTTTAATTACATGAATACTTCGTTGTTTAATATAAGTTTCTTTTTGTACATTTTTTAAAACATCTATAAATTGGAATATATTTGGGTGTGCTGAGTAAAACATACTATTAAACTTGGAGTGGAAGGCTTCACAACTATTCGTAGTTCGAATTATAGAACATGAATACATTGCCCACACAGAAGGCGGAAAGTCACAATCAGGCTTAATGTATGTATTTAATATATAATCGGAGAATTGCTGTACTTTTTCATCTTCGGGTAAAATTGATACAATAAGGCCGGACGCAAATCGTGTAGTCGTTTAGATTAAGACGGACGCAATTCGTGTAGTCGTTTAGATTAAGACGGACGCAATTCGTATACCCACTTATCAATTTTTTTATTTCGGGACGCAATTCGTGTGTAGCCAAAATATTATTTGTCGTCTTAACGTTGCAACATTGTTACTAGGGTAGCGGCGGCGGGGCGCGACTCACTGGGTCACCGAAAAACGGTCGAATGGCGGGGAAGTTGGGGTAAAAGCGCGCGTGGTTGGCAGCAATGTATCTCGGAGAGGCATGTGTTTCTTCCCACCTTTCTACGGTCGAAAACAATAACACTGATTTGGCGAATGTTCACGTTTAGAGTCTTTCCGTTTTTTCTCTCCTCACACCGTCCTCAAAGATTTCGTATGGTTTCTACTACTATTGACACTGCAGCCGCCAATTCCCTGACATTTGGGATTACCGTCGAACGCACACAGACACAAAGTGACTAACCCCCTACGACCGGGCGTCGATCTTATGGAATTGAAACATTTCTACTGACTACGCGCAAACAGACATAGTATTTAGTAATAGAATAATATTAATACAATTTATAGTTATTAGGTGCTTATTATATTTAAATACGATATACGAAAGCACTATGGCAGATCGGATAGAGTCAAAAAACACTGCAGACGACGTGATCGAGGCACCTGGTGATAAGAGAAAGATGTCATCAGACATGAGTCCAGAACAGACCAACGTCATAAAAAAGATTAAAGAGACCAAAACCCAACCGGGTAAGTAATTTATGAACACATAGCAATAATGAATAAAATGTTCAGTAACTAATTTGGATTAATTAAAAATTTATATTTTTAGACACACTATGCCAATGTCCCCAGAAATGTTCAGAACGTGTACCACAACGTTCCAAGGATGAGCTGTTTAAAATTTTCGTGGAAATGGACAGCGAAGATGTGCAAAATAAATTTTTACAGAAATTTATTGAAGCTCGACCTGTTGCCAATCGATTATTTAGTAAAGAGACCACAGCTAATGGTAAACTATTAAGAAGGATTCACTGCAAGTACAGAATACCTTCTTTTGTATCCGAGGATTTTATGTCAAGTAAGTTATAGACAATAATCTTGTAAAAAAAAAAAAATTATTTTTTATAAATAAGTCAGATATCTTTAAATTAATAACTTATAGGTATTGAATAATTTAGTAGTTTAACTTGGATACTTAAATATAACAAATTTTGAATATTATTTTTCTAAAAATATAATAAATTGATTTTTCAAGAATTATCTTAATCGATAATTTAATTATTACATTACAGTATGATTCTATAAAATCTAAATTTAAAGATCATCTGTTTAAAATGTCTTAGTTTGAATTAACCCATAATTTTAGTGTGCTTTTTGGAATAAAAATAATAGACATTTTTGTTTTTTGTTTTTATCAAATATTAATAAATTAGTTGTCGACATATTTTAGTAAAATTTAAAAAACTAATGTTATATAAATATTTTATTTTACAGACATAAATTGTGATTCTGACAAAGATGAAGAATCAGACTTTGATGAAACATCTTCAGTGGCATCTTTGGATTCCAAAGAAGAAAATGACAAGTCATTAGAAAGTGATTCAACTGAGACATCAAGAAAATCATTAAGTCGTTACAACTGTGTAGATGTTTGTCAGAAAGCATTTCTTAATCTGTTTGGTTTATCAGATAAACGTTTAAAAACTGTTAGAGAGTTATTGATAATTAAAGCACGCCAAAAACACATGAAACGTATGATGGAAAAAGAAGAAAATCAAATAGAAGTATCTTTAGCTAAGGATCTTGCACAGGGTTGTTTGCCATTGATGGCACTTTTTAATAAAGAAGATAGTAAGAAAGTATCTGATCAGTTAATGACTGCTATTAGCAATGACATAAATTTAGTAAATAACTTTTTTTGCAATCAGCTATGGAAACCAGAGTACATTAACCAAAAGCCATCTGAATGAGTATAAATTATTAATAATATATATTTTTAAATGTAATTGATTGGATTTGTATCTTGTTTAAATCAATTGTCTGGTACTACTTTATTATAAATCCAAATCAATATTGTTCTGAATTCAGGGGATTTTACTTAATGTAAATTTTTTAATATTGTACTAGTTTATAAAATGTCAGTTGACTGGGGTTGTTAAAATATCTATGTTTTCTAACTATTGTATGTTTTTAATTATTTATTAAGGAGTTATACCTAATAAAATAAGTAATGTTTTATTGTCTGACAATATATTTTTTTAAAGTTAAACAATTATACATTATTACAATCTATGTACAAGAACAAATAAATAAAACTACAAAATTTTAAGTTTTAAGTTTATTATTATGATACATATTTTTATAGTATAAAAAACATAGAATTATGATCGGCTCTTGATTTAAATTATTATTATTATTATATTTAATGTTAACAAAAAAAAAAAAAACCTAATTAAATAGTACAAAGCTAAGTAAATAGGTGACACAACTATAGCATTACATTAAGTTTTTGTTTAACTTGATATTTTATTAAGGTGTCTAAATAATGTTATAAATTAACATGCAGATATGTTATAAATTCAAATGAATAAAGAATGCTAAATTTATTATGTACATTTAGAAATTAAGAATTTAGTATTCCTTTTTTAGATTTTAAGATTAGTAGCCTCCATTAACTGTGTACAAATTAATTTTTTTGTCCGAGTAACATATTTTTGTCAGTATTCATTATTATTATTTTTTTTTTTATATATACATCTAATTATTCATTGTATGACTCCATTTTTGTTTTTGTTTTTTGTATTGGTACTTTAGTTATTTTAAGGGAGATGATAGATGATACCAAATCCACATTAATCACGATGGTCTTAATTATACCAAACACCCAACAAACTATTCATTGTAAAACGGGTAACATCGTTTCATACATTATATACATTTTTACTTTTTAACTATATTTTTACTAAAACTACTATTATTATTACATGTGAACAATAATTCAAGATCCAAATTAGATTATAAGATGTGTTAATTACTTGTGACGAATTTATAAAATAACTAGTAATACGTAGAAATTATATTTTATGAAATATTTCACAAAATAATTTTATATTTTCAAGACCAATGCTGTTCTAAATGTTTAGTTTTATGAATTTAAATTTGTTTAAATTGTATTTTTCAAAGATTTATTTTTTCACAAGTATTAATATAATTAAATGAAATACCAATATTTTATAAGACCCCAAACCAAATAAATAAATAATATTAAATTGATCAATGTTTTTTTTATTATTATTATTATTATTATTATTAATATATATATAGACAAATTTTTCTGGTAATGTCAATTTGTTAATGACAAGAATAGATTCTGAAATGTAACAATATTCCAATGCATTATATAGAATTGTAAGATAAAAACAAAGCTGTTTTGATTTAAACAAAAAAATAGTATCAAATAATATACATGTCATCATTTATACAATTAGGTATGACAATTTTAAATTAATTATTATGGATGACAAAAATTGTTTAAAATAATTTAGTATGTTTATACCTATATTGAATAAATTTATAATAAGTTGATTAACTATAGCTAGAACAGTTGGTAGATAGGTATGTATATAAATTTTATCATATTTTATTTTAGATTTTAAGAAAATATATTTAATAACCTGTGTTTTATGATCTGTCTTTAAAACTAGACAAATTTATAATAATATTATTAATATTAATCTTTAAATTGATATTACAAGCAATGTAAATAAATAACTATAATTTATTATGTAAATTTCAAAATACTACTGTATTTATTAAAAATTAATTAAGTTATATTTGTATGATTAGACAAAAAGGTTTTTATAAAAATATTTCACAAAACAGAGTTGTTTAATCAACTAAAAATAACAATCAATTTTAAAAATGAACATTACAAAACCAAATGCCCTCTCTAGACTTGGGCATGTTAGAAAGTATAATTAGTAACAAAAATAAATCATTAGATATTACATGTCCTATAATAGAAAATTTAACAAATTTCATCAATGATAAAAGTGATGTTAAAACTTTTTTGTTTACTTGTAAATATTAATTAAATATTAATTTCATAATAAAAATTATATTATTGTAACATCAACATTCTATCTTTTATTAAGTAGATCAATAATATGTCCATAATTCATATTTATGCTTTGATATAATACAATTTGCTTATACTAATACAAATAATTGATAAAGTAATAATGTAGTAATTTAATATGTGTACTCACCATTTCCAATTTTTGAAAGTATTGTCTAAAAAATGTTAAAGGCCTTTCTGGTTTTACAATGCATAGCTGAACAATACAGTCTTTTAAAATTTGTTGAATGTTATGTCGTTGAACGTAGAATTCACAGTCATCGACATTTAAATCATCATATACATTAGATGTCATCTTGAAGTTGTTTACTTTTAATGATCACAGTTTAAACGAACATTAATTAACGGTTTGATCGATAGGATCTATACACAATTCTTAAGTTTATGATAGCATTTAAAAAATATATTGCTTGAGAAATTATGTCCAATAAAAACTTTCAAATGGTAAAAACAAATATATTAGTATAGGCACTTTCACTTAACAATATAAATTTTAGTATGAGCTTATTTTTAATATTTATATTTTATTATTACTTAAAAAAAATAAAATAAAAAAATTCAATATGAAAATTAGTTTAAAAGTCACTATGTCAGAATATTAAATATTTGTAACTGATTGAAATTGGTATTTATCTATTTAGTATTTAGTTTAGGAAAGGGTTATCAAATAATTTAATATATAACCCCGTGCCATGATAACGGGCACGTAGAACTTGCTGATAATGCGTGAGCGAGCGACTTTAGATAACGTTGTCTACTACCACGGTTACTAGTTTCAATCATTTCTATTCTAAAGTTACACCGAAACACGATGAGGTTATGCCATTGGTTTTTGTCTTCCTTGGCTAAAACAGTATCGTGTGTGATATATAAACATTAAACATGTGATGGTTTTGTCAGTTGTCGAGCTTTGCTGTTTTAGTGTCCGCCGTCCGGTACTCACTACTCAGTAGACAGTAAGCAATAAGCACTAAGCATTATTTGTGATTTTGTTGTTGTTGTCTGACCGTGCAAACTGCTGAATATTGTTACCACTCACCGGTCGTGAGCCCGGTCAGTAATAATAAATCGGATTGACGGTGTGCATCATTATTGAGTAATAACTTTCACACATAACAGTTTTTTTTTTTTTTTATTATTCAATTGTTTCTCATTGACTGTGCACCTGGAAAACGTACATAGGTTAGGTGTACATACGTTGTAGAAGACTCGGTACCGACTTTGCTGTGGAGTTGTTGGTTAGTTTTTATTATTTTGTTTCATCAGCACTATTAATTGATTATAATTAATCCACTTAATGTAGCCAATGTTGACCGAACGGGGGCATAGTTTAATCAAATCATGTCAGTAACGTGAAACTATGTGGTTTGTCAACAGTGATAACTGTTGGGCATTGGCGATATTGTACTGTTCTTGTTGAAGTCGGATGTGAAGAACAAGCAGAATACACCATGACGAGTTTTACTGAAGCAGGTCTGAACAAACGACTGAAAGAACTGAACTCATCCCAGCAGAGTATACAGACTCTGTCCCTTTGGTTGATTCACCATCGGAAGTATGCTCATACTGTTGTCAAGATTTGGTCTAAAGAAATATTGGCGGGTAAGAAACATTTTCAGTAGAATTAAATATGGTTAAAATAGATAATATAGACATTATTTTAATTATTGTTTGGTTTAGTTAAGTTATCTTATAATAATTTCAAATATCTATTATATTTGTATTTGATATACTTACTGACAAATACCTTGATTAAAATAATAATATATTGAAGATTTAATTTTTATTATTGATTGACGTGTTATGAAAAAGTATGTAAAAATAATTGAAAGCACTTTTTTTAAATAAAAAAAAATTTTCTAAATATTTATAAGACAATATGTCTACTTTTAATTGCTACCTATGGTTATTGTAGTTATTTTTCAGTATGACTACATTTCAAAGACTATTTAAAATCAACAAAATTTATACCAATAATAAGGTATATGTTGATCATATTTATTTTGTTTCACAATGTTTTCTTAAATTATATTATTAGATATTAAGTCTAATAGTAATAGTTATTTAAGTTTTAGATACAATTAAATATACTTGTATTTTTGATTTAATATGTAGAGTATCTGGTAGTTTACAATAATGGTATGAGTTTTGTTACATGTAAGAATGATTTTGATTACATTTAATTAGTGTTAACTTTATTTATAGTTAATTGTTAACACATATGTTGTAATTATACAAAGTTATTAGTAAAATTGATTTTTGTGTAATTCCATTACTGAATCAAGGATTTAATATTTCTCTGATAGTACATATTGTAATCTATTTGAAAATAGGTACTGAAGTCTGTAGTTTTCTAATCTGTTTTATATAGTATAAATAAATCGGTGAAAATTTTAATGTACAATTATAATTTATGACTTGCGAAATGTTTATTCAAGGTTGTTATAATATTTGTTTTTCTGAAAATAAATTTAATTTACAGCATGTAGCATGTGCTATGTTAATTATTTTTTTACATTATGATTTATATAAATTATATAATAGTTGAAAATTATATGTCATATAAATTTGAGTTTTGAGTTCAGCATTTGTTTTTTTCTTTTTTCATACTTATATAAAAAATATCTAAATATTTATAAAGTTAAATTATATTTTAAAAACTTAAATGTAAACTTATACTGAACAATTAAAATTGTGAAAAAGTAACATTCATAAATCATATTATTACACATTTAATAATGAAAAAAAAATACCTAGTATATGTTAGGTAATTAAAGAATAATCAATAATAGTTGCTTTATACATTCACCCACAAAATACTATGTATGATCTATGTATTTTTTTTATATTTCTAATGTTCATAAAAGAATACTTAAAAAGAAAAATATTAACCTATGCATTTTAAAATTGTTTTTTTATCTGTATTTTTAGTTTAAAATATTTATTAATTTTAACTAAAAATTTGTCGTTCCAGGTTCAGAATCCAAACAATTGACATTAATGTACTTGGCTAATGATGTTATTCAGAATAGCAAAAAAAAGGGTCCTGAATATGGACTAGAGTTTGGCAAAGAATTAGCCAAAGCATTCAACCAAATATCTTTAAACAACTGTTCTTCCAAGACCAGACAGAGTTTGACACGATTGTTGAATATATGGGAAGAAAGAGGTGTTTACAGTAAAATCCAAATAGACGAATTCAAGGATGCTTTTGGTATAATATTTTGTTAATATTTAGTAGTCAGTTTTAATTAACTTAATTGTCCTTTTAATTTTAGTTAAAGAAACAGAGGAAAAGCCTAAAGATGAACCACCAAATAAAAAAGTAAAACATTCACATAATCACAAACTAAAGAAGACAAAGTCTCAAAACAACGGCATAAAGAAAGATAAAGAAATTATTATTGAAGTGGATGGTACCAAAGAATTGCATGTGACTTTATCTCCTAAAACTCCTGTCAATGATCCTCCTGAACCAGAAGAATTAATTAAAGCTCTAAATGTACATAGATGAGTTATTTATTCAATTATTTTTAGAAGAAAAAAAAACAAAATATTTAAAATCAAATTATTGAAATATTATTGATTATTATATTATTCTGTGCTGTAATATCTTATGTTTTGAAATTTTACTATATTTGTCTTTACTATAAAACATATTGTCAACATTTTCAAATGAAATGTATTATTAAAATTGTATTTACCAAATTTTAAAAAACCTACAAAATTAATTTTCTGTTTGAAAAGAAAAGAAAAGAAATTTGATATATAAAAGGCACTAACTGGATTCATTTACACTATTTGTATTTTGTAAATAGTCTTAATTCAAATGAAAAAAATATTCATTTTTTCTTATATATAATTTTCAACATAATAAAATCAATTGTTAATATTTTTAAAAAAAATCTTAAAATATTGTAATCTTAGATTTTTTACTAAAAAAAATGTAACTTAAAATAAGAATATTTGTTATCAACATAAATTTTTATCTGGAAAGTAGAAATTTAATATACTAACATAAAAAAGTTAATTCTTATATCATATTTAATAATGCACACTTAAAAGTTGTTTCTTAAGGTTACAAATGTTTATCCATAATTTTAATTGTATTTAAAAAAAATAATAATAATATTAATTTAAAATCTAGTTGATTGATTTAATTTTTAATCATTTTTATTTTAATTAAATTTAAATTCAATACTAATTTATTATTAATTTTTGAAGCTAAATGTTATTAAAATATTAAACATTATAAAAACAAATTTATAAGCTTTTAAATTGTAAGATGAAATGGGTAAATTAGTAGTTAATACCAGATAATATTTTGGTGTTTTACATTTATTTCGATTTAAAATTATTGTTTAATATTTTATTAATTAATTACTCATAATCAAATTAAAAAAAAATAAATAAATATATAGTGATGAATGCATTACGTTATGCATAAATATATTTATAGTAAAAAATTAATTGAAACTTTTTAATCAAACGTGCAATTAATAATTTGAAAATGATACATAGGAATTTGTTTCAATATGCTTAAAAATATTAAATTTATAAAATAAATAATAATTTTTGATTTTCAGGATTTAGAAAACGCACCTTCATGTGATGCAGTTGTACGAGAACGAATTTCTAAGCTCCCTCCAGAAATTGCTGATGTCAGTTTACTCTCTCAGTTAAAAGGTTATTATTTTGTATTAACTTGTTTAGTTCTAAAAACGTGTATTATAGTAAAACATTTATGTAAATTGTTTATTTTCTGTAATATATTGTTGGGATTTATCATGTTTGTTAAGATTTAAATTCTACATTTTGTGTGATCATTTCCTTTATTATTTCAACCATTTTAATAATAATTTTACAATGTGTAAATTTATTATTAACTGTATTGCTATATTGATTCATGGAAAGTAGGTGACCTGTAACATGTATTTATTGAAAACTGTGAACTGTGCATTATCTTGCTGTTTAAAAAAAATTTTATTTATTTATTTATGCCAGGTTACCCAATATGTAATATGTATATTGCCTCCATTGTAATAATTGTTGACTTTTATTTTAAAGTACTATTTAGACAATTCATACTTGTCTTAATTAATGAGTATAGATTCTAATTGTTCAATTAACGTATATATATTTTATTATATGTTAATATATTTAAAAATTAGCTAATATTTTTAAAAATATTTGATTTTTGTTTTATTGTATTTAGGTAAAGACGAAGGTGAAGAACTTTTGCGTAAAGTTAATGATGCTGTTGCATTGTTGACCGATTATAATACTAGACTGGTGTGTGAAATGGAAGACCGCAAAAAAGTCTCTTCTATGTTGCACGATTTCATTCAATCTCAAAGAGACCTTATTGATCAAGCAGAACAAAGATTACAGGCAAGTTATAGTCATATTTTTTTAAATTTATTATAACTGATAAAAAAGCATTTGTTAAAGAAAATTTTTTATGTTTAAGAATCTACAAAACTTCAATCATTAAATTTTATATTACGGATAAAAATATAGTTAACCATTACTTATTTCAATAGTTAAAATAATCATAAATCTACATAATTTGCTTTGCTTTAATGGATTAGGAAAAATTCTAACACTAGTCATAGGTATACTAGGCTAAGGCTTATTGCAAAATATCATAATTCTTTATTATGATTATGTCACACTCTAAAACCTACCCATAATATATTGTCTGTTTTACAAACCAAATCAGCTTGTGGTAAAACCAATTTTGTGTTATTAGCTTTAGTATAAGAATGAAGTCAAACTGTCAAACTTAAAACTTAAGAGACTATTACTTATAAGAATATAAATCTAAGGTATTATTTAGATTTTTGTAGACTTTTATTAATATTTTATTTTTTTAGTAAGTTGAAAGGATTTTATGTTGTTAAATTTTACTTTAAAATTAAAAGAGTAAAATATAAAATCAATAAAAACCGACTACACAAAATGGGTTTTTTATGTTGTACGTTTACGTGGCAGAGATAACACATGCGGGTCTTCTTAAAATCTACATTGGAATAATGTAAAAACTTAGCAGAATCTAGGAAATATTTATCTTATTACATAGATTTTAAGGAATAGTAAAATCATAAATGTTTCCTTTACACTTGCTTATTCTCAATGGTCGAAGTGTTAAAAAAAATTAAAAATATATATATATATATTAAAGCACTCACCTTAGGGTTAAGAGAACAAAGATTTTATATTAAATATTGTAAATATATAGTTATAATACATGCAGCATTTGTTAATAATACAAAACACGTGAATTAAAGCTTCTTGACAAAATTGTTGTCTGCAGATCTATGTTATAATCATGCATTTAAATACACTATTTAAACTCACATTTACCGACACCATGCTAATCGTAGTTCCTAAGGAGACTGTCTTGGTTGATATTTTTTGAGGCTTTTTATAAAATAAAAATAATAAAGCGACATATTCGTAAGGATTGTCCTCTTTTATGAATAGAAACATATTTATTTTTATGGTTAAGAACTCCTCAGGATCCGTAGATAGGATGGGATTTCTTTATATAATTCGTCACGCTAGTTTCAATGGTTCTATACTCGCTATTATGTAAACATAATAACGACGTTATATCTGAGGATAATACAAACATTTCTGGTCGCAAGACAGGCAATAATTTCTTAGGGTGTGTAGAATGAGGGCAGACCTCAATCTCACGTATGATAGTTGCATTCTGTTTGTAAATGTATGTCTAACCTGGGGTCGAAATCCATTAGTACGCGTTGGAAAAAATAAATAATATTTGTAAATTTAATGATGCTGAACTTATCATTACTATTTAGGTAATTATAATAGAAAGGAAATAAAATGAAACAAGATTAGTTATTCTGCATGTATAATGTTTATTACTTTATGTATACTTTATAAAAATGTTATAGTGATATAAACTCATATTAGGTATTTCTCTGTTAATAAAAATAAATTAAACCATAAAAACTTAAATAATAAAAGCTAAAAGGATTTAATATTTTTTGTTTTATTGAGATATAAATACTATGTAAATCAGTAGTGTATATAGGTTCATTTCGGAGTATTCGTTTTTTTTTTTTTTTTAAGAGAGAGGGGGATACTTATAAAATGTATAATATTATGTTCCACTCTAAATTGTGTTTTTCATTTGGGAATGGGGGAGACCCTTCGGCTTGTATTAAAATTATTACATTTTTTTTTTTACTGAAATAATCAGGTAAATTCAAACATGGAAATTATTTATTTTTAAATTTTAAATTTCTGTAATCGTGTTAAATTAATATTATTTAATTATTATGGAATAATTTGATGAATAATAATTTTACGACAAATTCTTTTTTTTTTGCGATACTAGCAAAATAATCTTGTGATTATAATTTGGATCGTTTAGTTTAATTTTAATCTAATTAGGTTCAATAGCTATAATACTAACAATTATTCCGATTATTAATTAAGAATAATATATTTTACAATACATATTAATAATATAATTATCGGTTATTTACTTTTAAGATAAATGTAAGAAATTCCATAAAATATTGATCATTTTTATTAAACTTATTAAAGTTTTCGAAAATTATCAAGTCACCAAAATCTATGGTCAAATAAATCATCGATAAGACCAAAGTTTTGTGGGGTGATATAACGAAAACGTGTATTTTAAAGTTACGTATACTCCGCTATACTCAATAAAACCCTTCGATGTGTATTAACATTATGGGTTCATTCTTGTTTCCTTAGTCTCGTTCGATTTTTTTTTTACAAGCACACAGTATTTACAAAATGTTGTTAACAACATATTTAATGTACCCCAAACAGAGACGGATTTAACTTTTTAGTGGCTATAGACACTAAAAATTTACGGCCCCTTATCATAAGTAAACAAGCTCTAATACCCCTCTAAAATATTTTAAATATTAAAATTATAGTACCTAAATCCATTTGAATTTTTAGACTATTTTTTTTAGCTTTTAGTTAATTAGCCTACTTAAGAAAGATTGACACCAAATTTCAATAAAAGCTCGCAATGATAATTTTTATGAACTATCATTAATAAAACAAAATTAAAATCATTATTTGGAAAATAAAGTACGAGGTACATTAAAACATTTCATATAATAATAGGAATATAAAACAGATATAATCAATTTTTTTACTTGCTAATTCTTAACTTGACAATTTTAATTTAAGAAATTGATATCTTGCCTTTTTGATGAGTGAATGATTTTATAATATCTTTATATGATAACGAAACAAGAAGACTTAACTCAATTGTTAAAATTGCCTTACTTTGAAAAATATAGCTCACGATAACAACAATACCACTGGGATTATTGAATTAAATTTAAACATGAATTCATTCTTAAATATTATTATACCCAACTCGGCTGACATCCAGTATCTTGGTTTAGCGGCATCGGTACGCATAGACTATTTTTATATTTATTATGAGTTATGACTATAAATTATAATGAATCAAAATAGAAATATATATTATTAAATTATAATTTTTTGTTGATATAAAATAAGGAATTTTCTATTTTTTTTTTCTTTACAAATGATGTAATTTAATAAAAGATAACAGAATTTTTCGCTCTCTACATTTGGTCGCCTTAAGCAACTGAGTGTTGTCTTTTTTGCCTATCGGGAAATCCGCCTCTGGCCGCAAAAACATAATAATATAATGGCGGCAAAATTCATCCGGATGCATAATCAATAATAATTGGTACTGTTTACGTTTCAGGAATATCAAGGTAAACTTCAAAAAGTTTGCCAAGTGCGACAAGAGGTTAACACTCACTTACAAAATCTACCGGATTTAGCACAATTGCCCAGCGTTAAAGGCGGTCTTGCGCCTCTCCCATCAGCGGGCGATTTGTTCACAGTGGGTTGATGACTATTTTGGTTGTAGCTTGATCGATTATGCCGATCAAACGATTACACACGCTCGTCCTATAAGTGTGTTTGAGTAACAATAAAACGTGTTTGAATTTAAAAATATAACTTCCAGGTTATAATGTGTATTAGTTAAATTAATTTATGTAAAATAATATGGCATTTGATAATAATTTTCTCATTATTAATCATTACACGATTTAAATATTTTTATTAAGTCTTTATCATGTATTTTACAGTTCTCAAAATGTATAATAATATGTTATAATTAATATTATATTTGTCAAAAAAAAAAAAAAAAGTTTTTACGGCGTACCAACAATTCATGTGTTATTGTTTTTGAACCGATAATCACCATTTACGTTGAGAGTGTGTACTACGACACACTTTGTGTAATACAAAAAATGAAATGTGTACTGCTAAATTAAAAAATGTGTAGCAATTAATAACCAATGTTTTTTTCTATATTATTACTATTCATTTTACATCACTTGTTATAAACAAATAATTAAAATGTAGTGTGTAGTACAAAAATTAGAAAGTTTTAGGCCCTGGAGGGAGGAGGGGAGACAAAAGCTATTATGACGTATGAAATAGAAATAGAAAAAAATCGTTTGTCATGAACAATTTTTCAAAGCTAAACTCTGGTGTACACGTGTGTACAAATATTTTTGTTTATTATTATCTCAATACTCTCTGCAGGTCCGTCTGTAGACAACCGAATTTTTATTTTTATTTTAGAAATTATTTTGTAGGCAGGGGTTGGATCTAAATCTTAACTATTCAATTATTCTCTTCCCACAAAAAAAAAAAAAAAATGATGCCGGTAGATACGATTATAGATGGATCGTGACGGCGGCAGGCGCTCGCTCGAGTTCAATGGAACGAGTACTGTTGCACTGGCGGTCCGCACCATTTAGCAATGAACTCCAATGTCTGTTTTACGGCCGACGACTGAACGGTTTTTGATACGGTCATCACTTTGGTCCAATCGTCCTTGATGGCCATCCTTCCGTTCTCGAACGTCACCGCGTGACTCTTTTTCGTATCGATCACTGGCCACCCGGACACGACGCACACGGGGTACACGCCCCCGTCCGGCGCCGTCAAGTTCGACGGGTAGAGTTTCCTCTGATCCGTCGGCAAACTCTGTAAAACCGACGACAATATTATTATGATATGCGACATAACGCGTTTAGGTGTATTTTTGTTTTTTGTGTTGTGAACATCATATCATAAAAGTTTTCGGGGTTGGCGTTAATTCGGAATTAATCCGGAAACTACGGTTGTGTGCAGCTGTCGACCTCGTATCATCGTGCGCAAAGCACACCGGCAGAACACCTACGGTTTTCCGCCCGGGGACGGTTTTAAAATTTAATGGTCAAATCAGTTATTAGTATAGGTATTTGATTTAGTTATGTTGCGGTAAAGGTACCTTAATTATTTATCTATAATAGCATTTTACATCATAATCAAACATTTTCGTTCCGGAAATATATTGTTAACCATAATATTCTGTAACTTAATGATATGAAATACGCGCGATATTAAATTATACACAGTTAAATAAATCCCATGGGTGTAATGGCCCCTTTGTCCTCCTCTCTGCAGCTGGTGGCCCGTCTATACGTTATGTGGTGAGTCGTACCTACTGATAAATAACCTAATTATGATTATTATTTAAAAAAAAAAAACACGATTAGTTAAATTAATTTACTATACCACAGTGGCGTTATTTAATAGTTTACGTATTTAAATTCTGTAGAAGTCGAACAAGTTAAATTACAATATTCAATAGGTACGTCTACTAAAACGGCACTGATGTAGTGAAAAAATTATAGTTTTGTTTCTAGAATAAAAATTGTTATATCAGTTGATAAATATTAGCATTGAAATGAAAAAGTAGGTACCTAGGTGAGTTTACAAATATTTTACTTGTGTTCTATTTTTACGGTTTTAATTTTTAATATTATTGTTATCGTACGCGTCCCTCGTTTGTATCTTAGTAAATAACTGCTTAGTACTTAGTAGGTACTTACCAAATGTGTAGGTATCAATATAATAATCGTGTCTTCATTCGACAGGGAAAGAATAATAATCGGCAGCTTATTCCCCTTCACACAACAAACACAGACTACTTTCACTAAATCTTTGTGTAATATGTAGGTACTCGGCCACGCGTATATATTATTATATTCGAACTTCAAAAGCTATAGTAAAGTGCGATTGTCCACCGTCGTATGACCACAATTTTTGTATTATATGATAGCCATTCGAATAAAGGGGCGGCACACTCAGTTATTATACTAACGCTTATTGAACGCTGCAGAATTTATTATTTATTGTTGAGGAACAATTTAAAAAATGTCAAACTATAAAAAAAGAACGGTTAACATTTAATTATAAATATATTATACTATATTACTGTGACGAAATACAAATATTTGAAGTGGGATTCATGTCCCCGTGGACTTATTATAATGAATATTTTAAATCAAATTGACGTCATTACAGACGTAATCGCATAGAACAAAAAATAGACCCTATTAGAACGTATAATGTACGATAAGATGCATTTTTATTTTTTTGTTTTATTATTTATTTATCCGTTTCTGAATAATTTTATGACCCCAGTTGCAGTTATATATATATATATACCTATATGGGCTATATGGGTTATTCCTACTAGTCAATTAGTTACCATTTATTGTTGAAATTGATTGTAAATATGTGCCGTAAAAATTGAAAGCGATTAAGCTAAATATATATACCTATATGTAAAACATGATTATAATTAAATCGATAGTGGTGGATATTGATTATGTATGTACAGTGAGGTTAGCTTAGAAAATATATGATAGTATAATACTATTATACTACTAATGTAATTTTTAAAAGCACTGTTTTTTTTTTGTTTTTTTTTTATTATTATGAATTAATATTCACCAATTAACCTCACTTAATTACAATTATGTAGTTATTTACCATCCTTTATTGACTTTGCACCTAAAGACGTATTTATAGCTTTTTGGCGCCCCGGAGCACTGTTCATTAAACGCTCTCAAAGATAAACTGTTAATACTGTTATGATATGGGAAGGTTGTTTTAAATATAGACATAATATGTATTGTGGTAAATTAATCAAGTAAAAAAAAAAAAAAACAACTTTAATTTTTTATGTGAATTTTGTTTTTCAAATATATTTATAATTTCATCAAAGTTCATATCTACCTATGATAAGTGCAGATTCAATAAACAGTATCATTAACCTATTAAGACGATCATCAGTCATTCTCGACCTCAAATACGATTTAACCTGAACAATTGAATTTTGGGCAGCGTAGATACGTTTTTAATGTTTTATCTACCTACGTAAGGAAACAGTTCTTGTAGTTTTTCTGTTTAACTTATTAAATAATTTCTGAATTGTATACATTCGTTAGAAAATGAAGCAAATGGTCATTTTATTTTTTTAAATAAGAGTTAAATTTTCTATTGACTTTATCATAGTACATATTTCTAGTTCAGAATGTAGTTTATCAATAATAGCATAATAATAAGTATTAATCCCAAAAGAATTTTGAATTTAAAAATGTATTTCTTATTTTTTTTTTTTTTACCTGCTATTAATTTTCTTTTCCTTTTGCGTAATTATCGATATGTTTTGTATCCCGATTTATTAATTGCTCTCTATTCATAGATATGCATACTCCTCGAACCTAATATACCTGCACATCGAATTAATGATTCGTAAAAGCTTACAACTGTTTCTAAATCAATCTCAACTGACTGAAATTGTTCACTAGTTTTGTTTAATCTTTCTAGTATATCACCCCATAATGTAAAAATAATCGAAAAAATAAAATAAAATAAAAATATATAATCAATTTTTTATTCAAATATAATCTATTAGCTTCTGACTTCGTGATTGACATTTCTGATTTATCATCTTTCATAAAAAAATAGTTTATTACTTATTTTATTTCAATTTTAGTTTAAACTAATACTTGCAACAGATATTACAAGAATATCTTAATCGAATAGTTATGAAAGTGATACATTTTCTGTTTTAATTAAACTGTTTTGGAGAATTTTTCATCTATACGTAGACACTGGAAAATGTATAGATATTTTTAAGTAGGTATATTAAGAATTTAGAAGCATTTCTACAATAGTCCATAGCGTATTCAACAACAACATTTAAAAAGTGTGCTGATGAACACGATATCTACGAATTTAGCTAAAAGATTAATTTTTTTAATGAGAAATATTGAAGTCCTGATTCCTGAATATAATAATATACCAGACATGTTAGAAGCATCATTGTTATTTTGATCACGACAGTTGTTTACATTTAATCCACGCGGTTTTAAAACTAAAAACACAGCATCTGTTAATTCTTTAGACTTATGACTAGAATTAGGTAAAACCCTAAAAAATCTTTCTGCAGGGTACCTAGTCATTATTTTGAACAAATCGAAAAATAAATTACAGTTGATCTGCAACATGAAAAACACCAGGAGTAGAATCAATACTGATGAAAAAAATATTTGACAAGGTCTTAACAATTCACTACGTAATGTGTATTCGTTTACGAAAATTCGTTTGTACAGGTTTTGCGAAAAAATGAAAATGACGGTCGTGGGCAAAAGCTATATTATGTATAATGTATATAAAGTAATATATGCACGTGAGAGAGGTGGTTTGGATGGGTGGAAAAGAGAGATAACTGTAAGCCATTCGCGTATTGGAACTAAAATTCATTGTAGTGACTTTGCTATTACGCAGCAGGTTACCATTCTACAATTTTGTCTATTTGATCATGATAATGATATACAATTTATCGTGAATATGATACAAAATAACTATTTTATCACGTTTTAAGATTATGTTACTCTGACGCCTGACGCCCTGTCAAAGTTTGGTACCTACCCACGCCCCTTCCACAAATACGTTTCTGTGTGTATCTACTTAATTATTTATTCTATTTCTGTTTAATACTATTAGTACCTATATTTACATTTTATACAACTGAAAGTATCAGTTATTGTGATTTTAAACAATTATTTTTTTAAAGGTAAACATTAATTTTCTCATTAAGTGTCGAGGTTTATTAAATATTATTATTGCGTCATTTGAAGATTTAAGTCATTAAAAACAAA